CCGTTTATCCTGCGGTGCCATTTGGCGGCAGACCGCCGGTTATAGGACACGTACCACGTCCTTATTGGCAGGAGATTGTTTGAGAATGGATCCCAGTGATATTTTCGACTAGGCATTTTGCTCTTTGTGAGCTGAAGTAAATTTTAATCTGTCCACCTCGACAAACTGTTGCGGAGGGTGGATGAATTTTGCTTTAAGTGATTGATAGCTTATTTCGAATTTTAAATATCTTGACTTTGGGACTTTTGGAGTTTTGGATTTGTGGGTGGAGTTTGGAAGACATTTTGAAGATATTTGAAATGGAGCCCTCCGGTTGGGATTTGCATTCAACACGGCCATCATCACAGTGTTTGGGGTCATTTCCATTTTTTGGATTGAACCTTGTCGACTCTGTCTACTGGTCGACAGAGGATTATGTTTCATGGGTTTTATGCCTTTATTAGTGAATTCTCTTGATTATAGGCCTTGAAGGCCTAATATTAATGTATTAAAATAAATATATTGATTGTCACAACCATATATTTCTTTGATTGTTCGAATCTTGTCGACTTCTGTTGATCCGTATAGAAGGATCGGTTTCGAACTTGAATTCACTTGTTGACCTGCACAGCATCCCTAGACGTCACGTGTGTACCAATAATATGCTCGCCGAGGCCCATGCGGTATTCGGGTGGCATTTTATAATTATACCATCTCAACTCCCTTTTATCTGCTTAGGAGGATCGGGTTCAAATTTAATAACCCGTGCAGCTTCCCTAGACGTCATGTGTATACCAATAACATGCTCGCCGAGGGCCATGCGGGTTTTATGATTGCTTTTATCCCTTTTAGTGTACCTATGTATATACAAATTACAGTGCACATGTAGGGGTATTTTAAAATATTTCAGTTGTGCAAGTAATTGCTATTTGAATGCACACAACATTTCATTTGAGAGCTTATACAGGCCTTATGTTCGCTAGTACGAGTGTTGCGGATTCGGTGGCAATGTAGTCTTGATGTTATAAGGCATCTCCTCATCTTGATATTGTCTCCCTTTTTCTCATTCACCGGGGAGGGTCCTTCTAGATTTTGAAATCAATGACTGCTGCCTTGAAAGGGACTCTTTTCAGGATCATCAATGTAGTAGACTTGTTATTTCCGGTGTTTATGTACACCAGAATTATTTCCTTCCTGAGTACAGGATCGAGAAGGAATTTTGGAACACCAGGAAGTTTAGTTCTAATTTGCTCAAACATTTATTCCATTCTGTCAGGGGGTGATCCTTTTCGTACATCGAGTTGTTCTTTATACCCGACGTACTTGAAGATCTTAATCGCCATTTTTTTGTAGGTGATATCTATACTTGTGTCCATAGTGGTTCGTTGTGGCTACGATCTACCCATTATTGTTATCCACAAGTAGCATGTGTACATTTGCGGGGTCCGTTGTATTCACTATGATTTCTTAGAAATATTCGTAGGAGAGCCATTTGTACCAGTATCATATCCACCTTTCACCAATCTCGGGTGGGTTTGCTGATTGTACTTGCTTGTAGGGGCGAGTCCACTATCGAACGCCGGCATTTCCATCTCAATCTACAGGCATTTGTTGTTGGTGTTGGAGATTCTAATAGTGCATGTAGGAGGGACACCCATGCGTTTCATTCTTGCAAGTACAATGCACCTGATCTCGTAGAGACTGTTATAAGAGCCAACTACATTCTTTATTTGCATGCATTGAGGTCTTGTAGTTTGAGTTTCCTCGTGTGTGATCCAAGTTTTGTTCTTTTTATTCGGCGAGGGAGTTTTAACTGAATAAGTTCCGAGGTAAATTTTGGAAGGCAGATGGGTTTGTAGATACGACACTACCCAGAGATTTCGCCCTCATTTTGTGAGGACTTTATGATCTGAATTTTGGTTTCCTATAGGCGCAAGCCCCTATAGTTAATTATCCCTCCCGATCACGAGAGAGAACTTTCGATTAAGGCTAGTCGTCAATCAGATACGTAGAGATATGTGTTATCTGGCATATAGCAGCAGCAATGATTGGATTTGGAAATTTGGAAAATTTGGAGATTAGAAAATTTGTTATTTAAAATAGAAACTTCACCATCTTGCACTTAAAGTGAATGGTGGGGGAATGGATGATAGACCCGATCAAGATCCCATGGCTCCGTCGTCCCGGGCCATCGTGGTCCCTGGTCTACTTAGTCAGAGGAGGTAGTCGACCCAACCTGATAGAAAGATCCTTGTCGGCAGCCATGGGTTGCTTCGTCCAAGGGGACCTTGTAGACCTGGGGTGAATGCTTGTCTAAGGGGATAAATTTGAATCCACCTTAGCTAACAGAAGGCTTTGTGCCCTATCGATTATATCATATTGATTCATATCTCAAGGATTTAACGCCATTAAGGAGCGTATTGGCTCTGGCCATAACCGGTATTTCGTGGTGCCATTTGGCGGCAAAACCACTCGGTTCAGAGGGTCCCGGGTCATAACTGTTTATCCCGCGGTGCCATTTGACGGCAAAACCGCCGGTTAGAGGACACGTACCACGTCCTTACTGGCAGGAGATTGTTTGAGAATGGATCCTAGTAATATTTTCAACTAGGCACTGTCAACTCGACCAAGTTATTGATCGAGGATCGGGTTTCGTAGGCTTTATGCCCTTGATAGTGAATTCTCATTGTTATAGGTCTTGAAGGCCTAATATGAATGCATTAAGACAAATATGACGGTCGGCACAACCGTATATTTGTTTGTTGGTTTGAACCCTGTCGACTTCTATTGACCCGCATAGAAGGATCGGTTTCGAACTAGAATTCACTTGTCAGCCCGCATAGCATCCCTAGACGTCACGTGTGTACCAATAACATGCTCGTCGGGGCCCATGCGGGTGTTTGGGGGCATTTTATAGTTGAACCATGTCCACTCCTTTTATATGCTTAGGAGGATCGGGTTCAAAATTTGATAACCCGCGCAGCATCCCTAGACGTCACGTGTGTACCAATAACACGCTCGCCGGGGCTCATGCGGGTTGAGGTTGTATTTTCCCCTTTAGTGTACCTATGTGTATACAATTTATAGTGCACGTGCAGGGGGTATTTATTTCAGACATTCGACGGGTCTTCTGCAAGAGCTCATAGGAACTTGTACTCGTTGTAGCTATTTCACCATTTGTTTATAGGTGGTGTGTTGGATGTACAACCATTATTCTTCAGGGGACTTGTGGACCTCAATAATTTTATCCAACCCAACATTCAAGATCTGGTTGAGCTGAAATTCACTCACTCCATAATGACTGGATCTGGCTTTCTCTACCCAAAATTCGTATGAGAACCAACAAGTAACTCCCTAATATGTTATCATCCTCATTTTTGTTATTGTCTTACATTGAGAAGTAATCTTCTTAATCTTGGATGATCGTGCCCTTGCTGACGTCGAGATGTTCATCCAAAAATGATCGTTGTAGCTCTTGACGTAGTTGGAGTAGTGTATGTACTTTCTACTTGCTGCTGTGGGTTTAGATTACCAAGATTTGTATTGTCTTTTAACTACATATTTGTCAAACCTTGATCATTAGAATGGATTGAGATTAATTGTAGGGGTGCCCTAATATTCATCATATATTACAATGAACTTGTTGATGGGAGACCACATTGTTTGTGAGGATTGTTGTATTTTTTGTATAAATTATACAAACATCATATGCTGATCATCCTCCTCAACATGCGGCTTGCCTTACTGTCAAAAAGACTTCGCATCCCTTCACATGTGTTGGCTAATGAATCATTGGATCTTTTATTTTCTTTGAACATAGCTTGTATTTTGTGTGGTGATTTCCTTCATTGATATTCGTATATTGATTGGCATGTTGATCCTTTGATACTTCAATGTGATTCTTTGCTATCGATTGTGGACATATCATTCTTTATTCAATCTTTGCTTGTGAAGAGATTGCATTCATTGCAATTAGCTTAAATCACTTATAAGCATGATATGTTGAAATCTGCAAGCTTTTTTGTTTGATTATTGATATCCATTAGAAAGATTTAGGTCTCTACTTAGCATTTACATATAATGGAATAATTGCTAAGTTAACGTCCCATGTTGTTACATTGCAAGTTCACTTGAGTCCAAATCAAATCCTTTTCATCGTTCAAGTTCAGTTCGTCGTCATCCATTGTACGAGCTCCCTGTGGTCTGACTCAAGTCTCTCCATGAGTTTAAATTGTTCAAGATTATGCTCAAGTTCAAATATAAGCTCCTTGAGTTCAATCAAGTTCTCTTGGGTCCATGTCTTATTCATGTTCGATGTCCACAAGTTTTGAGTTCAATGTCAAAGTTTACTTTGTTCACTATATTTAGTTCATTTGAGTTTGAATTCACTGAAGTAATTTGTTGCAAGCCCAAGTTCTATTCACAGTCCACTACTGTCTTGCAAAGTTCAATTGCATGTTCAAATTGTTCACTTCTGTTCAATCCGGTCCGAGTTCACAAGTCCCCTGTAGTTCACTTGAATTCGAGCCATTCTCTTGTTTCGTTTGCATTCGAACTTATTATTGATTGTTTAAGTTTGAATTAAGTTCATTTGATGCTCCAATCAATGTCCAAGCAAAGCTCCAAATTGTCTCAAGTATGATTTTATGTTTACCCGAAATTTCGGCAGCCTTCCGGCGTCTCCCCCGTTTAGGGGAAAACTATGGAAAACTGGGCCTCCCACCACGCTAGAGAAAAGCGTGTACGGTAGATGCCCTAGGAAGAGGAAACCGCGGCCGTAATAATTTTTATTCCCCCACCACGCCAGAGAAAGGCGTGCATGGGTTGCGGGCACCAGTTTAAAATAAGCAATTTTATATTTGACCCCGCCTCGCCGTAGGCATCGCACCAGGTTCCCTTCTCTCCACGCTAGAGAAAAGCGTGCATGAGTTGGTTTTCCGATCTGATACTAACGCTGAAAATGGGGTTTTGATTACCCGTTTCGTCGCAAGCATCGCAACGAATTCCCTCCTACCACACTAGAGAAAAGTATGCATAGGTGGTTGTTCACCGCGTTGCAAGCACCGGGAATAGGTTTTCAAAGTTTTAGGGTTTAGAGATTATACCTGCGCGGGGTCGTCGGCGTTGGCTCGAGGCAAGAGAGAGAAGCATTTTTTTTTAAATAATTATTAATTATAGTTATCTTTTAATTAATTATTTTTATTTATAATTAATTAAAGTAATTAATTATAAATTAATTAAAATAATTAATTATATATAACTTTAATTAATTAATAATAATAAAAGGTTATAATTAATTACGATTAATTTTAATTAAATTAATTATAATTA